ATTTTGAAATAATAATGTTTATTTTTTTCTCTTCTGCTCACCAAGGCTGCATTTATTTGATAAAAAATACAGCAAAAACTGTAATATTCTAAAATATTATTACAATTTCAAATAATGGATTTCTATGTGTATATCTGTTAAAATAAAATTTATTTCTGTGATCAAAGCTGTATTTTCAGCATCATTACTCCAGTCTTCAGTGTCACATGATCTTCAGAAATCATTCTAATATGCTGATTTGCTGCTCGAGAAACATTTCTGATTATTATCAATGTTGAAAACTGTTGTGCTGCGAATATTGAAAAAAAAAAAACATTTAAAAGTTTGGGTAAGTAAAGAGAAATTAATACTTTTATTCAGCAAGGATGCATTAAGTTAATCAAAAGTGGCAGTAAAGACATTTATAATATATCAAAATATTTCCATTTCAAATAAATGCTGTTCTTTATATATACAGTGGGTACGGAAAGTATTCAGACTCAGATCGGAACTTCGGAGCGTGTGTCACGAATCATTTGATTCATATCGGAACTTCGGAACAGGTTCGCGAATCATTTGATTCAGATCGGAACTTCGGAGCGTGTGTCACGAATCATTTGATTCATATCGGAACTTCGGAACAGGTTCGCGAATCATTTGATTCAGATCGGAACTTCGGAGCGTGTGTCACGAATCATTTGATTCATATCGGGACTTCGAATCACAATCTTTTTTTCTGATTTCTTTGTTATTAAACAGTACAAAACATCAAACCAGTACTGTTAAAAAACAAAACAAAGAAAGAATACACAAATACAAATCCCTTAAGAAAATGAACCATGGTTTTATTATAGTAAAAGTGTAGTAACGTGGTGTAGTATTTTTTATATTTTTTTTATATAACCACAGTTTTACTATAAATATTATCGGTAAACACGGAAACTGAGATGGCAGAAAGCAATCCCTGTTTGTTTTCTTCATTTTAAAAAATAAAGGTTTGTAGTGTTTTGTTGTTATTGTGGGTGTCTTACTCGTATGACCAAGAGTTGAAGCTCTTTCCGCTGTTTTTTATCGGAATTGCACCGGCAAGCGCAGTAGCCTACTTGTTGTGCTCTATATAGTTGTTTCTTTTTTTATTTGTTTTAGTAATTTTATTACTTCAATTTCAGTTAGTTGCCAACAGAGTTAATATAGTTAACTAAACCTAAAACCTTCCAAAAATAGTTTTGTTACTTAAAATAAAAGAAACTTTTATTGAAATAAAATATTTTTAAAACCTTTTGCAGAATTTATTATTTTCATTTAGTTTAACTTGATATACTGAAATAACAAACTAAAACTGATGAAAACACACAACAAAATTAATAACACTGATTGCCAAGGTAACATTTATCATTTTGATCTAAGTTTTAAGTGTTTGTTATGCAGTGTCAGTTTGATTTGGGATGGTAATTTATTTAGATAGACTTTTTGACGTTTAGCAGGTTCAGCATTTAAACAAATCACCTTATCTTTCATTATTATACTGCACTGTGTTTGCATACTGTAAGTGTATTTCTCTTTGCACGGTGAGTGTGTGTGTGAGAGAGAGAAAGAGCGTGCCTAGGTATTAATTTCATATTGATGCATTAGTTGCTGATGTGTGAGTTTTAAGCTGTAATTGATTCAGCCTTTTTAACGTTTTAACTTTTACACCATGTTCATGTCATAAATTTGATTGCTCAATTACCTAATATTGATTTGCACGCAATAATGTGTGTGTGTGTGTGTGTGTGTGCAAGGGCTTGAGTGTATAAGTGCGTGTTTGAGCCCATGTGGAGGAAATTTTATTGTTTACTGTGTTGCTTTCATAGCTCAGGTGATGTAATGGAGTTATTAGTCATGTTTCGTTGAACTACATTACAGGTCAAACATTTTGAAATAATAATGTTTATTTTTTTCTCTTCTGCTCACCAAGGCTGCATTTATTTGATAAAAAATACAGCAA